AGGATGAAAAATGAAAATAAACGAATCTCATAACGTTCCGTGTCTCTGGAATTCGAAGACACACTTTATGTAGTCGGTCGTGTATTACGAGCCATTTTATGAGGCAGTGAACTCAATAATAAAGCTATTTTCTCCGTTTTTATGTAATTTGAAGTTGTTCATTACATTAAATAGTTGACTTTCTTTAAATTAAACGTTGATTTCAAAGAATACGTTAGAATAACATAATATAAATTCAAAAGATGTATTACTTACTGTATTTACTTCGGCAAGTTCGCGTAATTATAATGGAGAAATTAGATAAATAATTTTACAGAAGCGTGAACGACAAAAACACGATTACATCAATGTGGAAATATGGGTGTACAAAATGTTTATTTGTGCAGCGATAAATCGACAAAGGGTTTAAGCATTCGAATCAGGGACGGCCGGAAAACAAGCTTTACTTCCGGGCTGTCGGTGACCCGGACAAATTTGTACCCGATAAACGGACTACGGCAGATAATAAAAAATATCACGAAAATAAAGGGCTGTAAAAGGTCGCTCTGAAAAATCTCGCTAACAAACATTAGTAAAAGAAACGACGTATGTACCTATATTAAAATAATTACAATTTTTATCAAAATAGAAAACCGACTTTCTCATTTTAAAATGAGCATGTCCTCAATCAATTAATCGAATATTGGTTAGATGTTGATATAATTTTAATGGGACTATTTGAAAAGCATCAAATTTTTACTGGTGGTAGGACCTCTTGTGAGTCCGCGCGGGTGGGTACCACCACCCTGTCTATTTCTGCCGTGAAGCAGTAATGCATTTCGGTTTTAAGGGTGGGGCAGCCGTTGTAACTAACTAAACTTGAGACCTTAGAACTTATATCTCAAGGCATTTACGTTGTGGATGTCTATGGGCTCCAGTAACCACTTAACACCAGGTGGGCTGTGAGTTCGTCCACCCATCTAAGCAATAAAAAAAATATTCAAATAATAACAAAATCTTCACAATTCACCTTCTTCACATCTTCACGGTTCACCTAGAAAAATTTATAGCCCTCTTTTCTCTGAAGTCGGTTAATAACATGTCAAGCAACATTAATTAATAAAGTGTACTCCGGAATGCCACGAATGGATTGGCAATGCTTAGAGGACAAAAATAGAGATTAATTTTAATTTAAAAATAATTTTGTGGCTTGTAGCTAAAATGGCCAAAGTAAGTTTTTGTATGAAACTAGATTGTAGCGCTAGTTCATTGAAAAGTGGTATTTCTTTGTGCTAATACGGGATTAGTTTAACCACAGTCTTTCAAAAGTTATTACGTAAGAAGCTCAATATAGTACGCGCTTTCAAACTGTTCACTTATTGAATAGAGTATATCTGACCACTGAACGTCGGGATATGAAGATAAGAATTTGCCTGGATACCCCCTAATGAATAAAAAGGAAAATATAAGGGCAAAGTTCCCTCTTACGTGCTCGAAATTGTCATATGATACGTTAATACGTAATAATTAATGCCTGCCCGTCCTGACACCGATAAATGTATGCCCGACCTATCGAGTTTCGGTAACACCGGGATCTCGTTCATTATTCAGAAAATAAACTCCGTAGATTATTCGGTAAACGTTTATTAGTAATTGAATTCGAAGAAGTAGTTTTTTTTTTTTAATGTAGCATAGTGCAGAACGCTTATAACAAGAAACACATTCGAGCATTGCAATAATTTATGTGTTTTAGAATTAGAACGATTGTTAAATGAAGCGATTTCGGGATTAACGACTGTTATTTTCTTTTTATATCTTCTGTTGTTCGCTTTAGATGTTTCAGAAATAGACAACTGATAGAACCTACTAAAATTGTTATGAAGTGAATGCGTTTTAATTATTACTAGCTGAGTCCCGCGATGTTAGCCGCGGTTATTGTCGTACTGCGGGTGACGCCGCGGGGCGAAGCTAGTCTAAAAAAAGTAACCTAAGTTATTCCTTATATCATCAGCTACCTATCTCTGAAGTCCCGTCAAAATCGGTCCAGCCGTTCCAGAGATTAGCCGGAATAAACAGACAAAATTAAAAAAAAATGTTATTTTGGTGTAAGTACTGTATACATACTTACGCATTTAGTAAAAAGTGGTTATTTTATTATTACAAACAGACACTCCAATTTTATTTATTTGTATAGATTTATTTTAGTACATTGCAAAACAACGACCGCCGGATATTCTGGAAATAGGATTATTTCTATTTCGGTTGTAGTTTCTGCATCCGCTTTATAACTGTTAGGGTAGGTGGTTATAATGCGTTGAAATTCAGACTAACCATTCAACGCACTCACTATACAGTGTATATGTTTAAAATAATTGTATATTGCATTAGTGAAAGAGACGAGCTCACCGAATGCCTGGTGTTAAGTGGCTACTGAAGCCCATAGACATCACTAAGTGACATAATCTCTAGACCTGATTTCGATACCTCTTTCGTATTGAATAACTCCTGTCTGATCTTACACGGATGCTTTATTGCAGAAATAGGTAGGACGTTGGTACTACTTGGTACCACTTGATAGGGCAACAGGAAATCAGTTAAGAAAATAAAGAGGCTATACTACAACAAGAAGATTAACTATGATGTGGGAGACCTTAGAGGAAGAGGTAGACCTAAGCAGAAATGGATGGATTGCGTGAAAGACGATATGTGTAAGAGGGGAGTGAGCGAAGAAATTGTATATGATAGAGGAGTATGGAAGAGAAAACATATTGCGGTGACTGGGAGAAGGGCAGGAGAATGATGATACTATAACAATCAGACGATTCTCATGCTACAAATTCCTTATCAGCTCCTAATCAATTGCATTATTGATGTTCTATTACTACAGGAACTAGTTAGTAGGCGTTAATTGATTTCATTTAATAATAACCAATAAAAGGTAATTTAGCGCAGCTATGTAGAAATCAAATTACCTAAGAAAATTGTGAGGATCATTTATGTTAAAATCAACTTAATAAAAATAGAATTCGAGACTATGAGAAACGTGTGTTTATTTTGCAAAACAAATGAAATGAGACTAAATAAAACTCAGTTGCTGGAGTTCAGTGAGCTAATGAGAAATTATGAGGATTTGTTGTCTTGGTCAACGTCACAGCCGCTCTGTTAACTAACACAAATTGCGCCGTTATTACCTTAAATCATGATTTATAGGGACGATTTAACAAGATAAAGAGTTTTACATTACGTTTTGTAAGTTACCTAGCTTATAAATATATACGAAATTCAATAGCATTATGCAGGAGATGTGATTCTCCATACGGCTTCTCCAGACATGAATTCTGAAGAATGTAAAATCCTCTATATATCAAATGTACTACGTAATAAGCATAGGCGGTAAAGTATATTTATGTAATAGTCCCAAATTTTAGGTCTTACCGTAAATATCTTCACCAAACCTTTAGTATAGAATTTTTCGCAATTTATCCAATTTAAAGCATTTCTATGTATAAATTAGAATTCAAAGTATTAAAATTTAGGAATAATCTAAGTCCCTATATAGCCTTTGGAGACTACGCTGGCGTAACGAGTGAGTAAGGTGAGCTCACGGGGCTCTAACTTGAAGACATTGCTAACACTAGCCCTAGCAAAAGCAGTTCTTTGCAGTAGAGAAGATCCGGCGAGAAACTCAGTGGGCTGTCTGTGGGAAATAATAATGATGAACTTCATTTTAAATAGGTTTTGTTATAGAGTTACATTAATTACCTACATAGCTACAGTAATTGCAAATAGAAATAAATATTTTATTTTTTCACAAATAGCAACGTAAAGTGGATTGTAATCCACTATTCACCCCTGTTCATACTCTTATTATGTTTACTACTGCGTTTTGCCAGACCGCTTTGGATCGAAAAACATTAATTAAATTTCTGAACAAAGATTAAAATAAAAAATACATAACACTTGAACTTTTTTCCCTATTTAACTTTGTTCTTTCCCAAGCGGCCACGTTTATTAATAATGTACGGTCTGCAGAATATGAATTAGCATTTAATAATCCTTCAACAAAGAGATTCAACGAACATCCTTCGACAAATCGTTCTAGAGATTTCTTAAAACGCTTTCGTTAACATGGCGTGTATGTATCGACCTCAAGTTAATCGGAGGATCGATGGATTCGGGGACCGATGATAATACATTATTTTTATAAATTCGCTTAAATATATATACATATCAATATTTTGACTAGCATTAACAGTAATGTAACGATGATTTAAGATATGTACAAAAAAAACATTCAGCAATCGAAACAAACTTACAACTAATCTTTCATTAATCGATTATGGGCGTTCATAAGAAAACAAATGGCCGTTCTTGCTGTACACGGTCAATGGCAAAACGAACATTTATTTCCCCCCGAAATAAATCATTTGTCAGGCAAGATCATAAAATTGGCGCCAAGCCCACTGATGTTAGTGATGATGGTACGTTCTGTTAATATGTAAATTTGAAGACTTATGCATAGAAAAACGGCCCGAATCGAGTACTACCAGTTTGTATTATTTATTTTAAAACGATTAGAAGTAGGTTTAATCGGCCTTTGAAATTCAGATTGCAATGTTCTCGGACTATTTATGGCGTTTATCGTTTGATGATACAAACAAACGGTCTTTTTTTTATTGCTTAGATGTGTGGACGAGCTCACAGCCCACCTGGTGTTTAGTGGTTACTGGAGCCCATAGACATCTACAATGTAAATGCGCCACTCACCTTGAGATATAAGTTCTAAGGTCTCAGTATAGTTACAACGGCTGCCCCACCTTTCAAACCGAAACGCATTACTGCTTCACGGTAGAAATAGGCAGGGCGGTGGTACCTACCCGTGCGGACGGTCCTACAACCAGTAATTACGCAAATTATAATTTTGCGGATTTGATTTTTATTACACGATGTTTTACACACCAAAAAAGTCTTAAATGGAGTGAGTATTTTAATGTGTCAAAAGTTAAATTTATGCATTTTAGGTCAGTTGTGGAGGCTACCGACGTACAGCTAAACATGCGGGTGGGAATACACACGGGCCGAGTGTTGTGCGGAGTGCTCGGTCTTCGCAAGTGGCAGTACGATGTGTGGTCCAATGACGTCACTCTTGCAAACAATATGGAAGCTGGCGGCGAACCTGGGTATGTTCCATAGAGTATTTATTGTAGAGAAGCCTGATTGATTATTTTTTCCAGATATTTTTTTTTAGTTTTTCTGTAAACACCGAATAATTTGTCAAATACATTAAGTTATCTGTGTATTAGCAAAGAAGCAAAAACTTTGTACCCCATTTTACTAAAATTGCGCGGAGGGAAAAGTATGAAATTTTCCACAGTTAGAGAGAATATAGAGAAGGAGTGCAGAATGTTAATATTTTATTAAATTGTGCATAAAAATACGTTAAATCAATAATTAAAAACATTACACAACTACCATGTATTTGACACACACCCGCATGCATACTATTTGTTTATTGTCAAGCTTTTCTTATTGCTTATAGTCTGTGGTCAAATTGAGAATAGATTAAATATTGTTTATCTTTATTAATATTTGTCTATAGTGTAGTCTTGAAATCTGTGAATATAGGAAGTAAAATAATAAGTCTTTGAAAATATAACCTTAATAATGTTCAAACTTATAATTTTAATTAATTATAGTCTAATTTTGACTACCGGAGGACCATTAGTATTATTAAAAAAACAATTGGAATTGAGCTGTTAGTAAGTGTATTAATACAAAATAAGTTCTTGATTTCCGCACAAAACGCGTTTCATAATTCGTAAACTAAAGATGTTTTACAAAGGTTCGGCTTTAGGATACTTTTAATCTTTCACATTGAAATAATCTCGCGGATCTATGAAACCAGAATAACATTTGAACTAAACAACTCCAAACAAATAATCTAAATTGAACTAACTGGCCCCAATTATGGACGCTACAGTTTACGCTCCACGCACCTACACATACACAACGAGTTATGGCCGTGCATTTGCCGGTGTTGATATGTTTAAAGTGGAACAAACAAAATTGTGTGCGGTTTTTTTTAATATTAATTAGTGGTAATGAGAGTATCACGAATTTTCATTTTCATTTCGAGAACAAACTTCAACAGAGGTATTGTAATATCAAAATGTTTTACGGTCCATTTAATAAACCTATCTATCACCTATACTGAATTTTCCGGCGCTTCTTTCTCATAGCTTTAGTTCTCTATCATAGCTCTGCCGATATCAGGTTTTTTTTATTTATCTTTATTTAAGCAGATTATTCACCTAGTGAATTGTTGAAAAACAAAAAAGTGCCCCTCCATTGTGCAACAAAAGAGAGTAACAAAATAAATATATAAAAAAATAAAGGAAACTGTTATCGTCTCTGAAGGCCTACCAAAACTATTTTATATAGTGACTTAGCCATTTCGGATTCTGGAAAGAATAATACGTAATTTACACCTCCAACGAAAATCTGTATATTTTGTAAAGAATTGTCTCAAATCATCGTTCCGCGCACACTCCATCATAATGTGAAAAGCATCTTCCATTACATCACCATATCAGGTTTTGCAAACGTATTGTTGTTCAATCCGATTCTTGTTTTTTTTATTTCTTTTATTGTTCTTTTATTTTATTTTGAGTACATACCCTCTCTGAATTTCCTGTTTTCAATTTAACTGATATTCGGCGTCTCTAAATTCGATATCTGCCGGTGGAAGGTCGCGTCATTGTATGATGACCACCAAATTGTCTGTATTCGACAACTACTTCACATAATATTGATCGCGAGATCGTTTGCCCATTCACAGCTTTCCAGCAAAATTAATGCAGTTAATTATCGCGCCTGCTGATTTATCATCTTATTTGAGTAGCAGTCAGTCCCGCACTTTGTTTTGTCATTTATGCAGATACGCGGCATGCGATTCTGTAATCCATAAGTTTTCCCTAGTTCCATGCGTAACACGTTATAGTCGTATATCAAATGTATGTTCCACTGCCGCGTTCGCTGTTTGTCAAACTGTTTTTATTCGTAAATTAATTATTATAAGGTTTAAAACAGTATCTCTTAATGCACTTAATTTTCCGCCTATTTCTGCCGTGAAGCAGTAATGCGATTCGTTTTGAAGGGCGGGGCAGCCTGTACTGTAAAAACTGAGACTTAGAACTCATATCTCAAGGTGGGTGACGGCATTTGCGTTGTAGATGTCTACGGGCTCCAATAACCACTTAACACCAGGTGAGCTATGAGCATGTTCACCCAACTAGCAATAATAATAAAAAAATACTCGTCCACTTTTCAGTCGTGTACACATCACCCAAGCCACGTTGGAGTGCCTGGGAGGTGCGTACGAGGTAGAGCCGGGACACGGAGCTAGTCGCAACGCGTACCTAAGGGACCACTCTGTTCAGACATACTTCATTATACCGCCGCCCAGGAGAAGAAAAGTAAGCTGCTTATAACGAGTTTATATTAAAATATAAGTGTAATTTTATCTTAGAGACTTATTCAATTTTTTTTTTTTACATATAACTGACAGTTTCGCGTTTTCGACGTAAAAAATAAATATAGCGGAGCGTAAATGAAAAAGAACCAAAATAAACGTATATTTTGAAGTGATGTATGCAAGTACGTAAGCCACTCTCGGCAATTGATGGACGTGACGTCATCACATGTTTTTTTTTTAAATTTTTAGATCACTTTATACATCTGTTTAGTTATAAATGTATCTACAATAGTCTTGGGATTGTATATTGATCTTAGAAGCTGGTTAAACCCGTAAATCGAACTGTACAATTATTGCTAACATTTTACCCAATATATTACAAAGTATTTGTATTTTACCCAATATACACCGAAGACATCCCGGACATCAGCCTGTACGAGATTAGGATGGCTCTCAAACAGCTTAAGAATAACAAGGCACCGGGCGAGGATGGAATTACTACGGAGCTTCTGAAAGCGGGCGGGACGCCGGTACTGAAAGTCCTTCAGAAGCTCTTCAATTCCTCTTTGCTCGATGGAAAACCGCCACAGGCATGGAACAGGGGTGTTNACTTTCCACTGTACGCAAGCGTACTTTTGGGAGCAAGCGGAATGAGGGCGCGGTGCGGGACGCAAGGTTCGACTGATCTACCAATAACGCGCTCGATACGATTTCCCCTGCCGTCGCGCCTCACCCTCACCACCAAAGTGACCTAAAATTCGGTTCTGCGCAGTCAAGGTCATTTGCTCAAGAAGTTTGCCGATTACTATATCAATATTTTGACTAGCATTAACAGTAATGTAACGATGATTTAAGATATGTACAAAAAAAACATTCAGCAATCAAAACAAACTTACAACTAATCTTTCGTTAATCGATTATGGGCGTTCATAAGAAAACAAATGGCCGTTCTTGCTGTACACGGTCAATGACAAAACGAACATTTGTTTCCCCCCGAAATAAATCATTTGTCAGGCAAGATCATAAAATTGGCGCCAAGCCCACTGATGTTAGTGATGATGGTACGTTCTGTTAATATGTAAATTTGAAGACTTAGAAAAACGCCCCGAATCGAGTACTACCAGTTTGTATTATTTATATTAAAATGATTAGAAGTAGGTTTAATCGGGCTTTGAAATTCAGATTGCAATGTTCTCGGACTATTTATGGCGTTTATCGTCTGATGATACAAACAAACGGTCTTTTTTTTATTGCTTAGATGTGTGGACGAGCTCACAGCCCACCTGGTGTTTAGTGGTTACTGGAGCCCATAGACATCTACAATGTAAATGCGCCACTCACCTTGAGATATAAGTTCTAAGATCTCAGTATAGTTACAACGGCTGCCCCACCCTTCAAACCGAAACGCATTACTGCTTCACGGTAGAAATAGGCAGGGCGGTGGTACCTACCCGTGCGGACGGTCCTACAACCAGTAATTACGCAAATTATAATTTTGCGGATTTGATTTTTATTACACGATGTTTTACACACCAAAAAAGTCTTAAATGTAGTGAGTATTTTAATGTGTAAAAAGTTAAATTTATGCATTTTAGGTCAGTTGTGGAGGCTACCGACGTACAGCTAAACATGCGGGTGGGAATACACACGGGCCGAGTGTTGTGCGGAGTGCTCGGTCTTCGCAAGTGGCAGTACGATGTGTGGTCCAATGACGTCACTCTTGCAAACAATATGGAAGCTGGCGGCGAACCTGGGTATGTTCCATAGAGTATTTATTGTAGAGAAGCCTGATTGATTATTTTTTTCCAGATATTTTTTTTAGTTTCTGTAAACACCGAATAATTTGTCAAATACATTAAGTTATCTATGTATTACGAATAATACGCGAAGCAAAAACTTTGTACCCCATTTTACTAAAATTGCGCGGAGGGAAAAGTATTAAATTTCCCACAGTTAGAGAGAATATAAAGAAGGAGTGCAGAATGTTAATATTTTTTTAAATTGTGCATAAAAATACGTTAAATCAATAATTAAAAACATTACACACACTACCATGTATTTGACACACACCCGCATGCATACTATTTGTTTATTGTCAAGCTTTTCTTATTGCTTATAGTCTGTGGTCAAATTGAGAATAGATTAAATATTATTTATCTTTATTAATATTTGTCTATAGTGTAGTCTTGAAATCTGTGAATATAGGAAGTAAAATAATAAGTCTTTGAAAATATAACCTTAATAATGTTCAAACTTATAATTTCAATTAATTATAGTCTAATTTTGACTACCGGAGGACCATTAGTATTATTAAAAAAACAATTGGAATTGAGCTGTTAGTAAGTGTATTAATACAAAATAAGTTCTTGATTTCCGCACAAAACGCGTTTCATAATTCGTAAACTAAAGATGTTTTACAAAGGTTCGGCTTTAGGATACTTTTAATCTTTCACATTGAAATAATCTCGCGGATCTATGAAACCAGAATAACATTTGAACTAAACAACTCCAAACAAATAATCTAAATTGAACTAACTGGCCCCAATTATGGACGCTACAGTTTACGCTCCACGCACGTACACATACACAACGAGTTATGGCCGTGCATTTGCCGGTGTTGATATGTTTAAAGTGGAACAAACAAAATTGTGTGCGGTTTTTTTTAATATTAAATTAGTGGTAATGAGAGTATCACGAATTTTCATTTTCATTTTGAGAACAAACTCCAACAGAGTAATTGTAATATCAAAATGTTTTACGGTCTGTTTAATAAACCCATCACCAATACTTAATTTTCCGACGCTTCCCTTTCATAGTTTTAGTTCTCTATCATAGCTCTGCCGATATCAGGTTTTTTTAAAATCTTTATTTAAGCAGATTATTCACTTAGTGAATATGCCACTCCATTGTGCAACAAAAGAGAGTAACAAAATAATTATATAAAAAAATAAAGGAAACTGTTATCGTCCCTGAAGGCCTACCAAAACTATTTTATATAGTGGATTAGCCATTTCGGGTTCCGGAAAGGCTAATACGTAATTTACACCTCCAACTTGTCGAAAATCTGTATATTTTGCAAAGAATTGTTGTCTCAAATCATCGTTACGCGCCCACTCCATCATAATGTGAAAAGCATCTTCCATTACATCACCATATCAGGTTTTGCAAACGTATTGTTGTTCAATCCGATTCTTGTATTGTTTAATTTGAATGGTTTTTTTTATTTTTTTTTAAGTACATACCCTCTCTGAATTTCCTGTTATCAGAAAACAGGAAATTCAGAGAGGGTATTCGGTGTCTCTACATTCGAAATCTGCCGGTGGAAGGCCGCATAATTGTATGATGACCATCAACTTCACATCGTGTTGACCGCGAGATCGTTTGCTCATTCACAGCTATCCAGCGAAATTAATGCAGTTAATTATCACTCCTGCTGATTTATCATGTTAGTCCCGCATTTTGTTTTTTCATTTATGCAGATACGCGGCATGCGATTCTGTAATGCATAACTTTTCCCTAGTTCCATGCGTAACACGTTATAGTCGTATATCAAATGTATACTCCACTGCCGGGTTCTTTGTTTGTCAAACTATTTTGTTTTTATTAGTCAATTAATTATTATAAGGGTTAAGAACTTTCTAGCTAACAACTGGTGTAAAACAGTATCCCTTAATGCACTTAATTTCCCGCCTATTTCTGCCGTGAAGCAGTAATGCGCTTCGGTTTGTACGGTGGGGCAGCCTGTACTGTAAAAATTGAGACTTAGAACTCATATCTCAAGGTGGGTGGCGGCATTTGCGTTGTAGATGTCTGCGGGCTCCAGTAACCACTTACCACCAGGTGAGCTATGAGCTTGTCCACCCAATTAGCAATAATAATAAAAAAAATACTCGTCCATTTTTCAGTCGTGTACACATCACCCAAGCCACGTTGGAGTGCCTGGGAGGTGCGTACGAGGTAGAGCCGGGACACGGAGCTAGTCGCAACGCGTACCTAAGGGACCACTCTGTTCAGACATACTTCATTATACCGCCGCCCAGGAGAAGAAAAGTAAGCTGTTCGAGTTTATTTTAAAATATAAGTGTAATAAATATAAGTGTGTTTATTTTAGAGACTTATTCAAATTTTGTTTTTTACATATAACTGACAGTTTCGCGTTTTCGACGTAAAAAATAAATATAGTAGATCGTAAATGAAAAAGAACCAAAATAAACGTACATTATGAAGTGATGTATGCAAGTACGTAAGCCACTCTCGGCAATTGATGGACGTGACGTCATCACATGTTTTTTTTTTAATTTTTAGATCACTTTATACATCTGTTTAGTTATAAATGTATCTACAATAGTCTTGGGATTGTATATTGATCTTAGAAGCTAGTTAAAACCGTAAATCGAACTGTACAATTATTGCTAACATATTACCTAATATATTACAAAGTCTTTTCGATGTTTTATAGATATATAAAATACTGTAGGACAAGTATTTTATTATACTGTGATGAATAAATGTAATTTCTAATTATAGCATTGGAATAACTGCTAACCACCTTCAGATATTTGGTGCCAAACCAAAACAGTCTAAAACTTAAATATGAATCTAATAATTTTATTAATATCTTGTCTGTTTCTGCCGTGAAGCAATCATGCATAGTAGTTTGAAGAGCGAAACAGCTGTCTCACGTCTGCATAATTGAGACTACCACCTCATGTCAGGTGGACTATGCGCTCGTCTACATATCTAGAGCAATGATTTCCAACCACTATGTACTTTTGTGTGCTATCAAAATAGTCATTCAAAATTAATAAAATTATTATCGTACTCATTTTTAGTGTGTATATAAGTATGTAAACAATTTTTAAACTTTAATTATAATGCCGTGATTATATGTCATATTTCGAAATTATTAAGGTGTATTGCGACAAACAAAAAACAGGTTGAGAATCGCTGATTTAGAGAAATAACAAAAAAAAATCCAAGCACCGATCATCGTTCTTATTGAACCCGTTACAACGAAGGGCTCGGCGAGTAAATTAACCCACAGACAGTCCAATGAGTTTCTCGCCGGATCAACTTCTCAGTGGGTCGCGTTTCCGATCCGGTGGTAGATTCTACAAAGCACTACTGCATTTGCTAGGGTTAGTGTTAGCAACATCGTCAGGTTTGAGCCCCGTGAGCTCACCTACTAGTTAAGACTACGCTGAAATGGTCCCTCAAGACCATCGTAGTCGTCGTGGCCTAAAGGATAAGACGATGCACCGGTGTTCGCATACCGCAGGCGAGTACCAATTTATCTAATGAAATACGTACTTAACAAATGTTCACGATTGATTTCCACGGTGAAGAAATAACATCGTGTAATAAAAATCAAACCTGAAAAATTATAATTTGCGTAATTACTGGTGGTAGGACCTTGTGAGTCCGCACGGGTAGGTACCACCGCCCTGCCTATTTCTGCCGTGTAGCAGTAATGCGTTTCGGTTTGAAGGGTGGGGCAGCCGTTGTAACTATACAGAGACCTTAGAACTTATATCTCAAGGCGTGTGGCGCATTTACGTTGTAGACGTCTATGGGCTCTAGTAACCACTTAGCACCAGGTGGGCTGTGAGCTCGTCCAACCAACTAAGCAATAAAAAAAGTTGCTTTGATTTTAAACCTTGAGTAAAATATTGCTTTTGACATTGCTTTTCTCGTAGATGTGTTTATCTTCGACGGCGGGACTGGGCACGGGCTCGCGTCGGAAACTATCCTTCAAGAACGTTTCCAACGTGGTCGTACAACTCCTGCACTCGATTAAGTTCAACGTGGATGTTCCGTTCTCGAATATGGCCGCGTCGCCTCAGGAACTCAAGGCCAATGCAGCCCGGAAGGTATAATTGTATTTATATAATAAAAATTTAAATCTAAAATCTTAATACAGCAGTATTTATCTCATTATTATTATACTATATATGTTATTTACAACGTGTTCACAGATTATATTTGTTTATTAAATTTAATCGAAATAGATTTGAAATTAATTAATTGAAATTATTTTTATTATTTTAAATTACAAAATACATGGATTTTAGAAAGGGAACATAATATGTATACGTATTTACAAAAAAATAATGAATTAATTATTACTATTTTAAACTAAAATATTCATACATGGATTTTAAATATGGAACGTACATATGGATTTACAAAAAAATCCTCTGCTTTTTCGAACGACAAAAAAGGCGGCAATGATTTTGTTATTTTTTTAAAACATAATAGAGAGATTGGATTTAAAACTGAATTCTTTTTTCTCGCTACAAATGACGGTCGAACCGATTGATAAAAAGAAAAATAACATTTGTTCACAATCAAGTGCAAGAAATTGAAGTAAAATTTTTTTTGCGCATCTGAAGTCGCCGACACGTTTTCTTACAATAATTTAAGTGTTCCCAATTTTTTTCTTGAAGATTTCCATCACTCGAAGGTAAGTTAATGAAACTTTTAATTTACTGATTGTGTATCACTGTTGTGTATTGCAATGTAAATGTCGTGAATTTTCTCAACTTCTTTGGTCAATACGATACGAAAATAATAACATTTGTGAAATCATATGTGTTGTTTTATTTGGTGTACCCATTCGTGGACGAACGTATTGGAATATTTAGATCACCATTTGTGTTTTAATACACGAATTGCGGCTAAAACGCTGGTATCAACGATAAAAAAAAATATGTTCAAACTTCCACACGCTAAAAAATTCGCTTTCGCTGTGTCGTCCTAAATGTCAAAGCACGCACTTATTTTTGCGAGTCCACTGCCAATAGAGAAATAGTATCCAAATTTATGTAATATTCATATGTAAGATGTTAAATATTACGTCGAGAATTAAATTATACAGAAAGAAAACATGATCGTTGAAGTCGCAGAAATTGAGTATCCGTTCAACTTGGAACATAAGATTTTATAACATCATTGATTAGAGCTGTGATTTGGTTTAAATAATTTACTAAAATGTACATATTATATACCCATATAATAGGTTGGGGAAAAAGTTTCTTAGCATTTTTTAAGAAAATTCACAACATTTTTTAATATAGTTTATTTAAATTTAACTAAAGTAAATAGGTACCATTTTATTCGATAACTTTTGCCATCTTGTAGGTAGGGACATGATCTCATTGCTATAGAAATTTTGGGGCTTCTGATCAAAATACCGCGACAATTGGTTTTGGCAGTCATGTCAACCTGGCCCTACCTAAAGAATTCTGAAGAGACCGAAACAGGTGGAAATCTGAAGATGCAAGGTCAGGACTATACGGCGGATGCATTAACACCTCCCAGCCAAGTTCTCTTAATTTTTGCTGAGTGACAAGATGTGTGAGGTCTAGCGTTATCATGATGAAAAACCACACCCCTTCTGTTGATTAATTCCGGCCGCTTTCTCTCAACTTCTTGCTTTAATCTCATCAGTTGTTCGCAGTAGAGCTCAGAATCGATGGTCCTGCCTGGTGGTAACAGCTCATAATGAATAATGCCCTTCCAATCCCACCATACACACAGCATCACCTTGTTGCGAGTTAACCCGGGTTTCGTCACAGTCTGTGAAGCCTGACCGACCTTTGCCAACGACCTTTTTCGCACGTTCTTGTCGTACTTGATCCACTTTTCATCACCAGTTATCAGCTTCTTCAAAAGTGGTTCGGTTTCATCACGTCGTAATAAAGAACCACAAATGAGTACACGGTTCATTAGCTTTCTTTCAATGAGCTCGTGAGGTACCTAAATATCGAGCTTTTTTGTGTACCCAGTTATTTTCAATTGCGCCAAAACTGTTTTATGGTCAATTCTCAGTTCTTCAGCTACGTCGTAACTACTGATATGCTGATCTTGATCGACTTTTTCAAAAATGGCTTCCATTTTATCCATAATAGGGCGACCAGAGCGACGTGTATCTTTGGCATCAAAATTTCCAGATTGAAAACGTTTAAACCAAATTTGTGCTACTCTCACAGACGCTGCACTAGGTCCATAAACATCGCAAATTTTTTTCGCGGCTTGCGTTGCATTTTTACCTTTTTTGTAGTAAAATTTTAAAATGTATCGAGTTTCTTCATTAGATTCATTCATCTTGACAGTACGAAAAATAAATAAAAATCACACATTTTCCTAATTTGAATATGGAATTATCTTCTTTTAAATTTTTAACTTTTAATGATACCAAAACCAGCCAGATACCAATAGCTTAGCCAGAGAGATTTTATTACAAGTTCATACATACTATAATGCAAAAAGACAATTTCCCCAACCTATTATTTTTTTTATTTTCGTATTCTGTCATGTAATATATCGATAGGTCAATGGAGTTCGTCGTTTTAATGGTATAGTGTGTGGGGTGTGTGCAGGTGCTGGACTTGCAGCGTGCACTGCACGCGGAGCCGGGGTCGGCGGAGGCGCTGCGGGTGGCGGCGCTGCGGGCGGACGACGTGAGCGGCTCCCCCTCCCGCGCCCCCCACAACCACACCTTCGACGCCCTCCTGCAGCACCACGCCCTGCGCGCGCACCACACGGTCCTCCCACCGCGTCCGCATCCCGCCCGAAGCCGCGCTCCGCTCCTCGGACGGAATACAACCTTTTATAATATATCACTTTTTAAGGCGGGGTCTTTTGCAAAACTGTCCAAAGAAACCCGATTATTATACCAAAACAACATATTACTGTCGCCTGCGACTTTAAAAAAAATAATTGAAAAGAACAATTCATACATCTCAGGCTCAATATATCGCACATAAGGTGCTATAAAGTCACTTCTGCAAATTATGTATTTTTCAAGAGAAACGTTGGATAATTCAACATCTTATTATATAATTCTCATATAGTTCTGATAGACTATAGAAATAAAATAATATTTAAATTACAACTTTAAACTTCATCAGTAATAGCAAACATCTCTCGCGTCTCACTAATAACTATTAAAATGCGCTATGTATACGAGTATACCTTATTTTTAAATAACTACATATTTTTTATAGACTCATTTAAATCTTCACCCGAAATTCAAATCAGAAATCGAATTCTTATACTCCGTAAATTAACATCTCGCCCTCCAAACGAATTTAAGTCCCAAAAAGTGTTCGCAAGGGACCTAACCTTAAATGTGCATTAGGGTAAAGCTTAGGTTCACTTCAATCGTTCGCGAGGAGCGGAGGCGAGCTCGTCACTCACAGAACGTACGCGAACACGACCCTACTTGTAAACAATTCATCTCACCATCACCTCTCCACAAACATCGGATATACCAGATTTACCCAAAACACTTGTACACAAATCCTATTTAACGATTAAACAAAACTGGTCAATAAATACATACAACATAATGACATTTTGAATTGAAATTAAAAAGCTTGAAACATGGATATCCGACCTTATGAATCTGATATGGAATTTGTGTTGAGAATGATATTGCTTGCAGGGTCGCGGAGCGTACGTTTTGTGATGCACTTAGGGGCGTATTAGATTAATATAGCTCGCGTAGGTTTTGATTAGGCGTGGTGGCTAATGCTCTTGCACTTAATTTTGTGATTTCACGCTTTCGAAACTTTGTACGTGAAATGCATCGCAGTAATAATACGAGTATAAGATGCGTTTCATACATTCTGTGTGTCAAATTACATAACCTCGCTTTGATGATTTTTGAGTAGTTACTTCTGTTCCTGCGTGGTGGTTTTTGTACTAAGTTATACTAGCTTTCTATTAAATCGATTTTGCATTGAGGCTTTTCGAGTGCCACGACGTAACGGTCAAAAATATAAATGGAATGTCAAGGTCGATTTTGCGCAATTTTAATCTGTAATTATTAGAACACTTAAAGGATAATTCCCTTCCCTCGCATATTTAATTACACATTTCCAATCACGAATAACGCCGATAAGAGTTTCTGTGGCACACGCACAACGCACAGCTCCTACAGTGGTCCCCAGTGGAGTGAACTAATTACCCCTATTATAGTTGCCGGTCAATTGAAGACTTCGCCCGTTGCTGTTTTAATAAATGTATCCAGGAACAACTTTTGTTTAATGTATCGCCCAGCGACCGCGAGTGGATGACCCAAGCACCCGCAACTTACTAAAGAGGCCTGCTCGTTGTTTTTCAGATATTCCGACCTTGGACATTAGTTCCTCGACAAAAACCCGCTGAAACAGTAAGCGCAGACAGAATGTTGTTCATGTGTACAATTGTTTTCCACCATATTACCGGGCGACACGATGTATGCTCCCTATATATTTTGTTGTGGGCTCACCTCTAACTTGTCAATGGACCTATTCGCGGTTTACGCACTTTCGGCTTTCGATAGGAAACAAAGAGAAATCCACAAGGCGAGCGTTCGATATCGTCTTAAACGGAATATTTTCTTTAAGATCATAATGTTAATTTATCAGTTTTAATGAGTTTTATTTTTATTAATAAAGCTAAATGCACCGAACTGTGTTTCACTCGCTGTCCCGACAGGCCACCTTGTGCACTAGAGCATGGCATGAACCCTCGACTGTCGATTGATTAACCTGCATGGCGTTACTTGCCCTTCGATTAATTACATCTTCACTTTTCTTTACTGCTCGATTTCTTTATACTTTGCCGTAAATGTTAGTGTAACTCCGTCTCGTTTCTATATTGATTACCGAAAAACTTTCATTAACTCCATACGCAACATACCAGTTTTCCCTCCGAGTCAAATTCCAAAATTGAGTAATCAGAATATATTTTAATGTGAGTTTTGTGAAAATCTTGATATGATCGTCAACTTAATCATTTTATCTTAATGTTCTAATAATGTAACGCTGCTTCGGAGTCCGGAACTTGTGTTATAAGGTCAGTCCGTAAAGCCATGTTGTGAGGCATGGAGTCGGCATGTCGTGTACCGTGTCACCCCCCCTACGTTTCGTCGTGTCCCCTTCAATCGATGTGTATCCACTTATCTACTCCCACCCCTTTGTTGTTAGCTTTAGGGAAGATAAAAAGAAAACAACGTTCAAATTAGTTCCGTCAACGGTAATGTTTTCCACAGAATAAGGTAACGGAGAAATTTAAGCGGCCTCTGAAAAAGCGTCACTCGTCTGTCTACCACCAGCCTACCAACCGCGTCAACAAGTACCTAGCGCAAGCTATAGACGCCCGCTCCGTGCATCGCGAGAAGGCAACTCACGTGCATCTGCTAACGTTGTGCTTCAAACAAGCTGACAAAGAGGCTCAGGTAACCGAAATAAAATCTCACCCAAGAACTCCGAAGGTCTTATACACTGTGATATCACAGCGTCTGTCAATTTCTCTTGCAAAGCCCTTTGGTAGAGTAGTTCGGTATTTCAATGAACGAAGTAACCCCTGTCAAGGTGCTCTGGTAATCGTTTAACACTAGGTTTCAATACGCCTTATATCTTGAGACATAAAGTTGAACTCACAATTTCATAACGGCTGTTATGTCCTTTTAATCGGAACGTGTGATTATTTCACGACAAAAATCGGTAGAACATTGTTATGAACGATTTCTAATTAATTCGTGAATTTATAGCGGTTATTAGTAGTAGGAAACCTCAAGCACCGGTCAGCGTCTTCGCCGAACCCATCGCTTGCGACGAAAGCCTCGACGAGTAAATTAACCCATAGACACTGAGTTTCTCGGCGGATCTTTTCAGTGGGTCGCGTTTCTGATCCGGTGGTATATTCTGCGAAGTACTGCTCTTGCTAGGCCCAATGTTAACAACCCTCCCGGTTTGAGTCCTGTGAGCTCACCTACTAGTTCGGTGAATCTAGAATAACCCCCCGAGGTTACTAGAATAGGTAGGAAAAAAAAAGTAGTAGGAATTAAGACGACGTTAGTCGGAAAATTAAACTAAGATTCTGGACGAATGATGACGTACTAATAGAAGTAGTTCAAAGTAGTTCTTCTTCCTATTCGTACACTCTTGACAGAGTGGTCGTGGTCATGCATCAGTCGGATCCTGCGATACCGATGCTCTCGCGATGTAGTTATGTACCTGTATCTTCAGTTAAGGGACCTACACATTATCATCATGTAAGATACTCTGGGTTGTTGTTTTTTTTATTGCTTAGATGGTTGGACGAAGCTTACAGCCTACCTGGTGTTAAGTAATTACTGGAGCCCATATACATCTACAGCGTAAATGCGCCACCCACCTTGAGATAGTTACAACGGCTGTCCCACCCTTCAAACCGAACCGCATTACTGCTTCACGGCAGAAATAGGCAGCGTGGTGGTACCCACCCACGCGGACTCACAAGAGGTCCTACCACCAGTAATAGTCAGTCTATTGTTGTATTTCAGTACCGCGCGTCAACGGACGGCGGTTGGGCCGGGTCGCTGGGCGCGGCTCTGGGCGCACTGGTGGCGGCGGGCACGCTGCAGGCCGCCATCTTGCCGCGCACCACCATCTTGTTGCTGCTCTTCGTCACCGCTTTCGCGTGGTCGGCCGCCGTCCTCGCGTTGACTCTAGCCGCTCGACTGAGGCTCATACCTTGCGATGTATCCAGGCCGTTCGCTCTCAGGAACGCCATCACGACCTTCACTCTCGTGCTGGGCTATGCCGTGGGCCAAGTTAATGTGGTACGTTTTTATTTTAAACCATACAATTTTCATTATAAAGTTTCTTTCGCGATTTATATTTAATAAACATAACGAGGGATGAAAGACTATTTGGCTTAGGCGACATTTCGCTTAATAGAATTATTATTGTAATTAAAGCAAGTTCATAAGATCACGCGTCACCGCATTGTGCAAGCGTTCACATGACAGAATATGTACGCGCGAGAGTCTGGCATTTTAACTATACCTACTTTAGGATGTCAGTTGCATCTTTTGATTTTTTATATGATTGCGTTGAAAACTATTTAAAATCGATAGAGGCGATATCGTCTTCGCTAGATACCCATTTTTCTTTGATCTATGCGTCTGTCCATCTCAAACCGCGCGGATCAGCTGAACAGGTAGATACAGTTTTGCAGAACCTGTACCGCGCGGCAGCGCGCGAATATGTGAACAATAAAAACTGTTTAGATTGATCTTGTATCGCGCGGTGAGTAGTTTCGCGCGGTCATATGAACTTAGCCTAAAAATCCTTTTTATTTGGCATTAGTATCAACAATTCGATGTTTTAATTGAACTTCAATTATGTTCCCTCCATTCGAATATCTGAAGAAGTTCTTTTTCTATGATGTTTTTTCCAAATTTTAAACATTAAATAGCTCTCCTGTAAGGTTCTAAGAGTGTCGCTCAAACCAAACAGCCTTTGACATGTTGATAATATCCAATCAGGTGACGTGTCGCAAAGTGGACGTGTGTCGGAACCTCACCGAGAACGTAACGATGGACGATATCAGTATGGCGAGTGACGACGTCGCGTCTCTGCTGTGGAGCAGCGCCGACCACCGCGCGTGTCCGGTGCCGCTGTACGTGACGCTGGGCTGCTGCCTCAGCATGCTGGCGGTCGCGGGCTTTCTCAGACTGCCGATACTTATCAAGGGCATCCTCCTCTACGTCATGACGGCCGGGTACATGGTAGTCATACTGGCCTACCATAAGGACTTGTTCGACTGCTACGATCTAATGACCGAGTGAGTTCGTTATTCTATTTTATTTTATTTTTTATTTATTTTATTTATTCGGATTTTGATCCGGTTTTTTTAATAGATAGAGTGATTGAAGAGGAAGGTTTATATGTATATTAACATCCATTAAATAGTGGAAAAATCTATAATAAATTACAGTTCCGAAGCGAAGCGAGGGCGGGTCGCTAGTTGAGAATAAATTCAATATTGTTTGTCTTTATTAATATTTATCTAAAGTGTAGTCTTGGCCGAAATCTGTGATTAAAGAAGTAAAATAGTCTTTGACAGTAAAATCATAATAGTGTACAAACTTATAATTTCAATTAATTATAGTCGAATTTCGACTACCGGAGGGGGACCAATAGTTGATGTAAAGTGTAAACTGTTGTTGTTGTAGACCGGGGCCAGTAGGGTCGGCGTACGTCGCCTGCGCCTGGACGCTGGCACTGGCATTGGCAGTGTTATTGCACGCGCGGCAGACGGAGTGGACGGCGCGACTCGACTTCTTGTGGCAAGTTCAAGCGCGCGATGAGAAAAGAGATATGGACGCTCTACAGGTAAGCGTTCTTTAAAATGTTTATTAGCCATTTTGGATCTATTGGATATATTTCAATCAAACGAGTCAGCGATACAGTTTTCTCTTAATTTAAACAGGAAAATCCAACGATTTTGCACAGTATAAGCATGTCGTATAATGATTAGAGGTTAAAGTTATTGTTCGAATGCAGGCACCCCCCACCCCTAACCTTCCGTGCTTGTTTAATATAAAAACATAATATAATTCCCACATAATTAAAATTACTTGAACGGTTTAATGTCACGTTTTCCGGTCATCGTTCTTGTCGAACCCGTCGCTTGCGACGAAGCGCTCGGCGAGTAAATTAACCCACAGACACAGCCCACTGAAAGAGACAGCCAAACAACATATTTGGACTTCGACGTCAAGTTTTATGTTGCTGGCAACATTCACTTTACAATGGCTATGGTTAACAGACAAGGCGGTGTGGGCTTAGATCCCCTTGCCTTTCCTAATAAGGAAAAATTGTACCAAAAAAAATGTCTATGGTTCTTGGGAAAAATAATTTCCACGGTTACTTTCTAATCATTCACTATTAATTTTCAGGCATCAAACAGAAGAATACTTTTCAACCTATTACCGGCGCACGTGGCCACTCACTTCTTGGATAATCAATTTAGAACAAATATGGTTAGTGAACATTGTCCATCGTAAATACTATAAAATAATAACGTACATATACACGTATATATGATATTGATAATACCTAAAATTACAATTATCTATTTGTCACGTTGCTATTTGATTTATTGATTCATTCACTGGTGGTACACACTTACACTGGTGGTAGGACCTCTTGTGAGTCCGCGCGGGTAGGTACCACTGCCCTGCCTATTTCTGCCGTGAAGCAGTAATGCATTTCGGTTTGAAGGGTGGGGCAGCCGTTGTAACTATACTGAGACCTTCGAACTTACATCTCAAGGTGGGTGGCGCACTTACGTTGTAGATGTCTACGGGCTCTAGTAACCACTTAACACCAGGTGGGCTGTGAGCTTGTCCACCCATTTAAGCAATAAAAAAAAATCATACAAATATCTTTCCTTGGCGGGATTCGAACCCACGACCCCCTTGTGTAGTGACCACGTCACTTACCACTACACCAGACGGGCGTTAAACAGTGATAGACCGTCGCGCTGTTGCCAGGACCTGTACCACCAGTCGTACCAGCGCGTCGGCGTCGTGTTCGCCTCCATCACCAACTACCACGAGTTCTACATGGAGCTCGACGGGAACAACCAGGGCATGGAGTGTCTGCGCTTGCTCAACGAAATCATAGCTGACTTCGACGAGGTATTATGAATACAATTGTATCATCACATCACATAGTATAAAACCAAGTCGCTTTCTCTGTCCCTATGTATGCTTAAACCTTCAAAGCTACGCAACGGATGTTGATGCGGTTTTTTTTAATAGATAGAATGATTGTAGAGGAAGGTTTATATGTATAATAGCATCCATTAAGCAGTGAAGAAATCAATAATAAATTACAGTTTCCGAAGCGAAGCGAGGGCGGGTCGCTAGTTGTTTCTAATGAATGAATGTGGGAGTTTGACGTAAAAGAGATCATTCACCTAGCAGATGTAATAGCTCGGTAGACCGACGGTCCAAATGTTGTTGTTCGGAATTGGTAAATATGCAAACTGATCTTGAAAATTTCGTAAGTGAGATTCAGGCTGTCAAATATCTTGTGTGCTATGATGGCTACCCGCCACAATAACCAGGCATTATTAAAAAAAAATACATGGAAACTAATATGATAACTTTTGCAAAACTCTTTACGTAAATATATTTATTAAACACGCAGACACCCTACCGTATTTCTTTTCATAACATGAAATATACACGAATAAAAAGGGCGGATGTTATAACATCCTAAATTGATTCCCTGACACGGCTCATGCTTAGGAATCAGTCTTCCGCATCATATCCATTATATAATAGATCTATACGATTATTGTTGATTGAAGACGTGAGTAGATGAAGGGGATATGATACAATTTGTTAATTTTAAGAAAACGGGCAACCACTTTTGTTACCTGTACTTTTTCTTCGGACATAACTCCTTTATCACATGAAATTTCTAAAAATAGCCTTTAAAGCCGGAGTTTTAAGTTCTAATATGGCTTATTGGCACATAACACCTTCATTCAATGTAAAAACTCAAAAATCTTATAAATGGTACTTAACCCCTTCATCCACTCATGTCTTCAATTAATAAAGCGTTTTTTGGCACCATTTCCAGCTTTTAGGTGAAGATCGCTTCAGTGCAATAGATAAAATAAAGACTGTTGGTTCAACGTACATGGCCGCCGTCGGTTTGATACCGGACAAAAAGATGGCGGACGAAGTGAGCACACGCAAGCACATGGCCACCCTGGTTGAATTCGTTTTTTCTATGAGGGACAAACTCAAAGACATCAACGACAACTCATACAATAACTTTATGCTCAGAGTCGGTAAGTGAGTTATTATTATTATTTTTATTATTAAATCTTTATTTCAGTAAAGAAACCATACTTTTTTTGCGTAGTATTACTTATAACCTATGTTAGTAACTTAACCTCACACATTACTATCTGACTATTGAGTCTTTTCCAAGTCTTCTTTTTCTTTTTCTCCACCTTATCATACAAGGTCGCTAGTGGGGTCGGCACAGCGAATTTTTCTATTCCATTCTCTTCTATCAGCCATATCTCAACACTGGTTACTGGTGGTAGGACTTCTTGTGAGTCCGCGCGGGTAGGTACCACCATCCTGCCTATTCCGGCCGTGAAGCAGTAATGCGTTTCGGTTGAGGGGTGGGGCAGCCGTTGTAACTATACTGTGACTTTAGAACTCATATCTCAAGGTGGGTGGCGGTATTTACGTTGTAGATATCTATGGTCTCCAGTAACCACTTAACACCAGGCTGTGAGCTCGTCCACCTATTTATGCAATAAAAATAAAATAAAAAAATTGCGTCATGTTGCATTGTCATGATTTGTTTGTTCAGGTATCAACGTCGGGCCCGTGGTGGCCGGTGTGATTGGCGCGAGGAAGCCACAGTACGACATTTGGGGGAACACCGTCAATGTAGCCTCACGAATGGATTCCACCGGCCTGCCGAATCATACTCAAGTTACAGAAGAAGTGTATCACGTGTTGAAGGATATGCCGTACCAGTTTGTGTGCAGGGGGAAGGTCAAAGTTAAAGGGAAGGGCGAGATGACTACTTACTTCTTGACGGACCGAGCGCCAACTAACGGCACTGCGCAGAATCCGGCTAATCCTCCATCTACGAATCCCGCGACCGCCTACGGGGGCGTGGCCACTCCGCTAGCGATGCTGCAGAACTCGGCCAGGAGGGCGGCGGCGCAGCCATCGAGACTGCCGCCGGTGCGAGAGGCCTCGGTCGCAGGCGAGAACGAACCACTATTGCCCACAAACAGTCAACAGATCAACGGTAACAATCACAAGGGCAGTAAAGGTCGCAGGAACAAAGACTCTATCCCTGAAGAAGCTCCACCGCCGCCTCCTCCCCATGGAATGTCGAATCCTAGATGGCCGCCGCCTCGAGCACTGGTGCCGCCTTGGCCCCGTCCGCAGGAGCCCCGGCCTCCAGTAGCGCACAAGAGACGCCCCCCGACGCGCCTGCCGCGGCCTCGCTCCAGTGAGAGCCTACCGTTAACGCGAAGTCCCCGGGTCCATTCGTCTGCGGACGAGTTAAGTTCTTTAACGCGATCTCCGAGTCTTAGTTCGTCAGACGAAAGTTATTCGCGAACAACTGACGCTTCTCCTTCGCCTCCCCGCATATCTCAATGGCTCCCCGCCTCACGGCCGAACCGGTCGAGTCCTAATCAGTCGTACGACTACCCGCCCTCAAGAGTGACGAAGCCTGTTTCGAATCACATCAACGAAATATATTCGAAGCATAAAATTTCAAAAAAACCATCGTTAGACGATAAATTTTTAGATGTAGATCATCAGAAAGAGGATGAAAAACTTCCAAGGACCATCATTAATCTATTACAAACTTCCGCGAAACGTGATGGGTGCTGTCAAACGGACAAGAAGGAAGGCCGCATGGGACAACGAGCCAGCTCATTCTCCAGTTCGGGCAGCAGACCGAATAATTTCAAACATTTCAATCACGATTCGGTAGACGTGTACACAAAAAGGAGTCCATCCGACGTGGCGTGCGTGCCGCCTTTCGAAAGAGAAATACAAAGACTATTAGAGGATAAAAATCTCATCAAAAACAATCCACCCAAACTCGAAAGGAAAGAACTCAAACTCGATCTAAGGTAAATAATTGTTTTATCAAATTATTTTCAGAGAGAACCTGTGCGTGGCTAAACTGTACAATTATTGACACTAACGTTTTGGCTTAAGATTAATAATAATTCTTTACATTTTTATTCATAAAAATTCATGACTGTATTGTTTTCTCTAAAATTAATTGTTTTCCTGGTTTCTTTTTCATTTGATCAGAACCATCTCATCGACACCAAGCTCATAGATTTACAAAACTAGATGTAGCCATTACATTATTTACCAAGCAACAGTATTAATTTTTTTAAGTACGAGTACCATTCGCTTGGTATTCCTTAAAATTTTTAAGTATACTCTGCTTTGATATTATTTATTTAACTAACTAGTTCACGCGGCAGACTTCGTAGTGCCTCGATCGTTAAATAAAAGACCTAAACTTTTGTATAAAATAAACTTAAAACAAACAAAAGGAATCCATCCCACTTATCTACCTTTTAGACCTTCTCTGGTCTTCCACAAATAATTTAAGACCAAAATTAGCCGAATCGGTAAAGCCGTTCTCGAGTTTTAGCGAGACTAACGAACAGCAATTCATTTGTATATATAAATTTTGATTGTTTATCAGGAGCCAGAACCCGTCGCTGGATTCGGTTCGCAACAATAACAACAACAACAACAGCAGCCCGCTGCACGCGGTGGGGCTGGCGGCCATCGCTCAGCTGGCGCGGCAGGACGCGCCCCCCGCCCCCGCCGCCGCCGACTTCCCCGGCGTGCTGCCCACCGACGTCGTCGTCCAGCTGCCCTCACCCACGCACTCAAGGGAACAACGCTCGACGTCAGTTTATATCATTATATTGCTCATAGACGAGTTCACTTCCTCCTGGTTCCGTTGGCAGGTTACCGCACCCCTCTACCCAAATTGAGGCTAGAGATTGAAAATGAAATCAATTGTAATTGGTGTACATACCTACCAATATTTATTTTTATTGCATAGATGGTCTGTCGAGCTCACAACCCACCTGGTGGTAAAAAGTTACCGGAGCCCATAGACATCTACAACGTAAATGCCTTGAGATATGAGTTCTAAGGTCTCAGTATAGTTACAACAGCTGCCCCACCTTTCAATGCGTAAAGCATTACAGTTTCACAGCACATGTAGGCAGGGTGGTGGTACTTACCCGTGCGGACTTACAAGAAGAGGTCCTGTCATAAGTAAAACTGTGAACCTTACACCACTCGATTTTAACATTATAATTGTTACACGGATGTCATGTCATAGATATTATTTTACCACAACTGTATTTCATTAACAAAAATAAAATTTCAATCTCCTTAGAAATAAAGATGTTATAAAAATGATAGGCTTCTCATCGACTATCATAAATTTAATGAAAAATATTATAGAATATAATAATTTACAGTTCTCATTAATTATTTTAGCCCGCAGTTTGAAAGGAAAGCGGAGGCCCTGGCGATGAAAGAAAAACACGAGAAAGAAATTCAAGAAAGACTACAAAGCAGGGTAAGATCATATATAGTGAGTTTGACCGATAAAACTCGCTTCAGGGATTAAATACAGGAAAAACGAGTAGGGGAAAGAACCAACCATTATTTCTATACGGGAATGAACTGGAGTTGCCAGCGCAAAACGTTTATTCTGCCTGATTGTGAACGGTAAAAATAGGGAGACCACTAAATTAACAAAATAAAATAATTCACACAACTTCGCTTCTGGCGTGCCCGTCAAAAACTATTTTTATTTCACTATCATAATACTAGAATGTGGCTCACAGTTTTACGATTGGTCGTCTATGTTACCTTATGTCTCCTTGGATTCTATTCATACCGCCTAGTTCTGAGGTATTCCAATTAAAACCAATAAAGAAGATGATATTGTTTCTTGCTGTACGTCAGAGGCTGACATCGCGAAGGGATCAAGGATAGGGCCATATTAATAACCAAATAACGACGTCCTCGTATCTCAAGATCGATGATTGATATTTATTTACTTTGGCAAACTGAACCGCAGGTTATCATGGACAAGCGGTAGAAGCCGCATACTCGTATCTTTAAATTAGTAATCAGATTTTTTACTGGTGGTAGGACCTCTTGTGAGCCCGCACGGGTAGGTACTATCACTCTGCCTATTTCTGCGGTGAAGCAGTAATACGTTTCGGTTTGCAGCCGTTGTAACCATACTGAAACTTTAGAACTTATATCTCTAGGTGGGTGGCGCATTTACGTTGTAGATGTCTATGGGCTCCAGTAACCACTTAACACCAGGTGGGCTGTGAGCTCGTCCACCCATCTAAGCAATAAATAAGTAAAAAGATAGATCGGTAGCATATAAGGTTCTCGGTCTGATCAAAGTCTGTGTCTTTAAAATCATTCAGGTGACCACTTCTAACTTGAGGGAAATGGGCCTCTACGGCGAAAGTCAGTCTGAATGGAGTTCGTCTTGTTCGGAGGGAGAAGGCGACGGAGACTGTGGACACCCCGAGAGCACCGGATATACCACAGACGACCCCGCCCTCGAAAACGTGTCGATGCTCAACGAGGCCGGGCTCACGGACGCCGAGGCGGCCCTCAGCGACGTGAACTCTTGCTACCTGGACCGCGACGACGACGTCTCCTCGCGGGCCTCCTCGCGGCTCCTCGACTCCGAGGCGCTCGTGTCTCTGGAGTCGCTGAGCGCTATATACGACTCCGACGAGCCCGCCCACAGGTACTTGGCCAACATCCGTACCGTCAGCGAATCCATTACGAGGAACTTCGGGCAGCCGGCGCACGTCACCGACGCCGAAAGCGATGTTTAGCGATAAGTGTGAAGTAGGGACTTCAATGAACCCTTTATAAAGTGAATTATAGGTAAACCGATCACTCGTAAAGCAGAGTGACCATACGGTCAATTGTGATACAACATCTCAAATTAAACTCGATCATGACAGAGCTCCCAAAGAAGTAATAGTAGGGTTTATGCGGATGAAATTATGTTTTGTGGCTCTCTATTTGATAATTATGTAATACTCAAAACTATATCACGGAATACTTCATTATTATTATTTACTGTTTCCATGAACATTCTAACGTGCCTCGTGTCAGTAATTTTAGTGTATTAATAATGTATAACTGTATTATATTCATGTAAAGTAATTGTGCCATGTGATGGCGTTCGCGTCAGTTCGGGGTGGATAAAGATCTCTACAATTATAAGGTGCTCTGAAGTAGAATTATTTCAGGTTTCGTGATCTGTAGGTAAAATGAATTTGAGCGACCAATCTTCGTCGACTTCAAAGTAGATATTTACCTGGGGCTGGACCCTACTCATTAGGTCTGAGTTCATTGAGTGAGGTGAAACGGATTGAGCTGTTAAAATATTGTAAATATGAACAATGCATTTCAATACTTGTAGAAATATTGTTACCATAGGCTGAATGATTTTGCTTAATAATAGTTGATTCCTTAAAAATATCATATCATCAGATGGGTCTTGCTTATTTTTTTTGTTGTATTTTAGTGGTGTTAATATCGCAAATCTAGTCAGTTTCTTCAATTTACATTATTTTTCTTCGAGATCTGAATGAGGATTATTTCTATGCAGTATATAATAAAATGTAATCAACATATGACAGAAACCATTCTTATCAACTTGTTTCACATTATAATTTATATAGATAAAGACAAAACAGTTAAGTACCATATTCGCGTGTGTTTGTCAATCGATTTTCTTTTTTTTTTGTTTTGTGCCTGACAATGATATTTAGTGTCATAATTTTTTTTTTCTAGAACGAAGATTCCTTTTTTAAAATTCCTATCAAGACAAAATAGGATAAACTTAATATATAAAAACTAAATCTTGAGATTAGGATGAAATTTCAATTATTGGACAAACAGTATGTGTTATGTACTAAATGTAAACTTGTCAATTTATTTGTTGAATGATTAGATTGTACTGTTTATGTTTGACGAAGCTTTTTACTTAGATTTGTACTTAAATTCGTTAAATTAATCGAGCTACAATATTAAGTGATAATACCTACAAAATTGCAGTTAATGGAAGTAGTGGAATTTTATTAATTTTCAAGCTTAATACTATTTCTAGCAGTAACTTTTTTATTTAAGGAAAATGTTAATTCTCTATTTAATTCAAATTCGAAAGACACTTTCAGTGTTTCAGCTTCTGATTTTCATTATGATATTAATACTGACGACTGTAAAAACTCTGTTATTCTTGTAAATATATTGTTAACCATATATTTCAATTCCACTGGATCGTTTCAAACACTTTAATTCTAAATGAATTGATATTAGGTCTCTAAATAATAATGTCGTAAATTGTTGTTCTAATTTAAATAATAGACAAACTTAGTGCCAAATATTTTTATGTGTTTGCTAATAATTGACATATACTTTCTTTTTTTTTAATATATTATAAATAAATAGTATGATTTTCGAAAAAAAATAAACCAATCAGTTTTTGACTTATACTGGACAATATTTCTCATCATAATCATGTAGAAGCAAAAAAAAAAATAACTCCCTAGACTAGAATAACAAACTATGTTTATGGGACGAAATTATTTATAATATAATCAGTTTTTACAATTTATCGGTATATATAGAGCTTTGCTGCGAGTTCACATTACTGAAGTTACGTCTCGTCGAGACATGTAGTCGAAACATATGACTTAAAGCACAAAAACGTTTTAGCTTTAATGTGAATAGTTAACAGCTTGGATGCAGTAAATGCGTTAGTAATAAATTAAAATATTGTATAATTTCCTGTAGGTAACTAAATTGCGCCTTCTATATAATGTGTTATTGTGTATTTTTATTCATTTCACTCCTATTATTATGCTGTAAAATGAAATATTTACGAATTAAAAGTGTTATAACACCATACCGAAGTTTTCTTTTATATGAATTTTAATATAAATTATAAACATGAACAAACATTAATGACAATAAACTAGATGGAAAAGTATGTATATCACTGTTCTTTGCTCAATGGTCTACGTAGCCCATAGACATAAACAAAGTAAACGTAACAAGTAACGTAAAAACGTGAACACGTGTGAGCATGATTCTAAATCTCAGTCTTTATAGTACAACGGCTGCCCCACCATTCAAGAAGAAACGCATTACTATTGCGGATTCCAATCTGACGGATCGTTTGGAAATTCTGGGTCTGCAGAGGGACTTTGGTTGCCTCTGTATTTTATATTGTATGTTCCTTATATGAGTCTGCTATTATCAAAGATGGCAATCTGTGCATTTGGACAAAAAAATGTTATTGATATGTCAATACAGATTGATTTGAATATAATCGTCTCCTTCAAAGAATACGATTCAAAACCTGCATTAAATAAAGGTTAATACTTAACCTGTTATTTATCTAAGATGTCGTTCAGAAGAGTTTTGTGACTGCCAATGGAATACAAAGTCAATAATTCGTTTTTCTGATTTACCAATAATTGTCCAAAAGTCACATTGCCGGCTTTGATAATAGTCGACTCATATATAGCATCATCTTATTCTTACCATCGCACCGCCCGCCACCGGAGTAGAGTTCATCAATACTACCTGGAGCCACTGCGGTTATCCACAGTGCATTTCCAGAGATCTTTTTTGCCACGTACCATACGGCTTTGGGATGAGCTACGGTGTTTCACAAGCGCTATGACGTCATTTTTCAAACGAGGCTTGTGGAGAGTAGCGTAGTAAACGGTAGGTAGCGGCTTGGCTCTGCCCCTGCCCCTGCATTGCCGACGTCCATTAGCGACGGTAACCACTCACCATCAGGTGGGTCGTATGCTCGTCTGCCTACACGGGCAATAAAAAAAAACTTCCCGGTAGCAATAGGTAGGGGCTAGCTAGCCGTTTCGGCCACAAGACGCCCTACTACCAGTAATTACACAATTATAATGAAATGTTGTCAAGTGTACATAGATCACACATAGATTATTATAACTGCATAGTAAATTAATTTAAAATATATTATACAGATAATTATACTAGTCTGGGTCCACAATTAGAAAATAGTTGCGTATAAATAAAAGCTCTAAAAAGAAAAGTATTTAATAAAAAACTGAACTAATTGAACTTATTAATCAATTACCGAATATGATATAAATCCGAATTTACCGTTATGTTTCAGTTACAGTAATGAGGATTTTATTAAATAAACTGTCTGCGTTTATCAAGCAACGCCTTTCAATTTTGAAATAACTGCCACAAACATAAGAGACAGGTAGTCGTGCTAAGTACGACGCGTCGCCTGCATTGCCTTCCGCATACAAATTATCTTTACCTTGAACTAGTATGACCTAACTGTTAGAGCATGAACATCACTTTAACAACGGCTGATTGATAGATACACTTGAAATTGAAATAAATAGGTCGCATTGGAAAATCGAGGTAGAAGTGCATTAAAGATATGATTGATCTAATAAATATGAATATTTCGTTTGGCGAAATTATCCATTATTAGACAACACATTGTTTTAGATGGTGAAGAGTTCACGCCCCGTCTCGTGTTATGTGATGTCTTAGATACAAAACGTAAATGCCACCACTCATATTGAGACATGTGATGAAACTAACATTGGTTTTGTATTATCAAATAACTTATCTATCAAGCCATAATTTTTGAATAGTTAGCTCCAGAAAATAGGCAGAATCTTGTTAGTATTAATTTTCTCAGTAAGTACTTACTAGATCTCAAATAGGTGAAGTATAAAACTCAATTCCTAATTTATAAACGTGCTCCGTTGTAATTATTTCGAACGTACTACTTTCCAATCTTAAGAACTATTGATAATCGTTGTCATGGTAATACCGAACAAACAAAGTATTTATATGAATAATAGGGCGTTTCTTGCGATTCTTGCTCCTAATGTGTAGTATAGTTAGTATTACTCATAGAAGACAACGATATGACATCAGCTTACAATTAAATTGCTGTGTTGCGATTTTATAGTACCATAATTGTGATCAAACGGCAAATTGAAACTCACACTTATGTAAAATTGTGACTTGAATATTAGTGAATTGTATCATCAATTAATACGGATTGTACGAAAGCGTGGAGTTCGATTTCTAATATTACATTGAATGCAATAGTTACATACTCATTTAGTGACTCAACATTTTGGAAATCCGTCGTGTTACATTTAATTTAATTTGTATTTTTTTATGTTCACAATGAGTGATATACACCGGATCAAGGCAGGTATGACGCGGTATGGTGGGCCACCACCACAAGCGTACAGCTGCACGTCGTGACGCCGCCGCCGATTGGCTNGATTTCTAATATTACATTGAATGCAATAGTTACATACTCATTTAGTGACTCAACATTTTGGAAATCCGTCGTGTTACATTTAATTTAATTTGTATTTTTTTATGTTCACAATGAGTGATATACACCGGATCAAGGCAGGTATGACGCGGTATGGTGGGCCACCACCACAAGCGTACAGCTGCACGTCGTGACGCCGCCGCCGATTGGCTATCGCGGGAACCGGTCCCACCGTTTCCCCCCCCCGTCACTCCCCTCACCGTCGCTACAAACAACTTTAAATTCTTATTCATGTTCCCTGCCACGACCGTTGCTGCCGTTGAAAGCGCGCGCCAAAGGAATGCGCCCATATTTCGCGTAATCTTATCGAAATGTTCTAAATGTTGAATGTGATCGGTGCAAATAGTGTGTGCTAAGCATTCGGATTAAGTGAACGGACGGCTGGTATTATTGTAGAATGATACGAAATGGTAGTTTTAGGACGATTTAGTGTTTTTGTTCTTTTTGTAACACTGATGGAACGTGAGCTGCCTCGATACGGAATCTCATCTACCATGTGCATCAGATAGTGTTTTGCTCTTGTTAGTTTGTCGCCAAACTAATATGATAGCTACAAGTGGATAGTGAAGTCTTGGTGAGTGATAGTGTTGTGTTGAGATGAAAGTGACGGTTTGCTTCGGATCCGTCCGGGTGTTGGTGCCATGCGGCGCTGGCGACTTGCTGGTCAGGGACCTTGTGCGGGAAGCAACACATCGATACAAGAAAGCCACTGGACAGGTCAGTGAAACACTAAATAATGAGTCTGTGACCGTTGGATTGTATGAACAATGAGCGGTTAAACACCGCATCATCAACAACACAACATCAGCTGATGTTGACAGGAAATCTCAGCTACTTATGTGGGTAGTCATAGTTTTGGAATTTATTATTTATCTGCTCTCTGTCTCTTTGTTGAACAATTTAAGATTAATAATGTGTAACAACGTCATTTTAAAGAAACAATAAATTACATAATATTGCATAGTAACTGTTTAATATGAATTATTTTTCAAAGATTAAGTATATGTTATATAATACAAAGCATAGGTTAGGTCTTGTGAACTGGTCCCATTTACGGGTCGGGGTTCCCAAGTAACGGCTATTTGCATTTAAATCCGTGTGTATCAGCAATCCCAAAAATTATCCTCTGTGTAGAAGGGACAGATAGAGTTTGAGTTGATCCCATAGTTCCCATTCAACTATCGCATCAGTCGCCTCATAAACAGAGTACATCTCCATTAGCTGTAACCAGTGCAATAACACACAATGCGTTTAAGGAAATCGATATGCAACAATACACATCTCGTTGTTAACCAAGCACTTGATTAAATTAGCCTTTTTTTGAGTTTTTCTGGTCCATTCTGAGCGACAGCAGTTACTCACCAATATAAATGTTTAAATTATTATAAAAAGTGCAAGTGTCTTTATTGTTTCCAGAGCTTAGTTACAATTGTCGAGTGCATAAGACTTTTTTAATTAATTTATTTATTTATAACTTTATATACTTGACAGTATAAAGGCGGACTTAAAGCCATAGGCATTCTCTGACAGCCTACCTTAGGGGAGTGCAGAGATGAACCTTGTTAGGTGTAGTGTTATAGTGATAATTATTAGGTACTTAAATATATGTATATACATAATATTTATAGGTATAAATACTCGTACTTAAATAAATACATATACATAAATATATACATACATATAAAAATGTATATAAATAAATATCGAACTCTTGTCTTAAACGCTTATTTCCTTACTACTACTTGTTTCCAAATGAGTTTCCTCCACGTAGAGGCTCAACAATTTACGAAGGTAATAGAATTCGTATTTCCAAGAATGTTGTAATGTTGAAATCCTACAAACAATTGTTCACAGAATCCCGGTCTAGCAAGAACTACTTTCAATGTGGCTGCTCCATTTTTGGACGGCATTAGCGATCGACAAGTTTGATTCATAGTAAAAATATTTAGGTATTTTGATGAACGGATCACTGGTTAAAAGTCTTGTAACATACGATGATTTGTCAATTTTATATATCCCATAATTCAACAAACGACTGCGCTTTTTTGTTGACAACCTTCTAATTATTCGTATTTCATGTAAATTATGTAACTGTTAAATTATAAAACAATCAAATAAGGTAATCCCGCTTACTTTAAATCTAACTAAGATCGAGCATCGCATCTTTTTTCCACACATCACTCATTTTATTGCAATCTTATTTCCATGACATCTAGATGCTCACTAAATTATTGAAATAACGCATATTTGCTTAGCAGCTAGCATCTGTGCGGCATCTGGGCTTTTTTATTTTATTGCTTAGATGATTCGACCAGCTCACAGCCCACCTAGTGTTAAGTGGTTACCGGAGCCAACCGACATCAACAGCATAAATGCCACCACCCAACTTGAGACCTGAGTTCTAAGATTTAGTAGAAGTTAGTCTTGCGTTTTATCGTACAATGGCTGCCCCATCCTTCAAACCGAAACGCGTTACTGTCTCACAACAGAAATAGGCAGGGTGGTGCTACCTGCCCGTATTAGTAGTCCTACCATCAGTACTTAGATAGGGTCAGGAATTACAAAGTTACATAAACATTTTGCTCGGGATATTGCTGACTGATAAGGGTGTAGTTGTAGCACCCTGAACGTTATGATCTATTTCATATGCTTTTATCGTTAAGATTCAATGTGCAAAGAGAGGTTTAAGGTTTCAGATC